CAATGGAACTACAGGCGTACCCGCAGTGGGGCAGCGCGGAAAAACGCAGGGACCCGGCCCGGGCGTCTCGTCACCGGTCCGAGGCGGGGTCTGGTGTGTGTAACACTGATCTGCGTTCAAGCAGAGGGTGCGTGGGTAGTCCGTTGGTTCGTCCTCCCGATCCGCCCACTGCTGCTCACTGGCGAGAGAGGAGGGTGAGTGTGATACGCACTAGATCGTCCACAACCCCCCGTCCCCTCTGGGGATCCAGAAATAGAGGAATTGCTCTTTGTCGAGAATTTGGGTACCACCGACCGAGAGGTCAGTGGTGGAAAAAGATGAAAAGATTCTCCACCCGGCCCTCCTCCGGGGGAGGGAGTGGTGTGCTTACCATCTCCTGAAGAGCACGTCCCTCAACCTCTGGGTCGCCCGCCTCCTCTTGCTCTCTCGCTTGCCACCAGGTTTGGTGGGGGCCTGGACGGGCGGGGCGGCTGCCCTGCGACCGGCTCTACGGCACAGCTTTGCTGGAGGCCGCAGGAGCGCTGCTCTTGTTTTGGCGGGGGCAGGGGGGCCGACCTCGGCGACGGCAGCAGCAGCACGCCGGCAGGATGTACCTGATGGCCTCAGTCTGCTCTGGTCAGCGGAGAACCACTGGGCAAGTTCTCCACCGTTTTGCCGACAGGCCGGCCTGGGACACGGGGGCGTTCAAGAATCGTGTCTTGTCTGTCTCGCACATGTCAGCCAGTCACAGCCAGAATGCATCTGCTGCCTACTTATACTCACGCGGTGATCAGCAGCAGCTGGATGCAATAATCGCATGCCAATGTGCATTGGCTCGTTTAGTTTACACTCGAAGTAGATTGGTCCCTCTAAGCGAGATCCCAATTTCGTCGGTCATCCGACGTGACATCGGGAGTGACCGACTGAAAGGGAACTTAAGATGTTATTTACTAAGATGTACTTAAAATGTTATTTACTAGAAGTATCTTCCCCTCCGTTTTAACTCTCAAATTAAAAACGGCGCAGGTTGGATTTGACTTGAAATCTTAAGATCATGAGTTTATAAATGACAACATTCAGATTCAGAACGACATGAGGGTAAGCAAATGGTGACATAATTATAATTTGTGTACTGTTCCTGTAAAAAATAATGTTCAGTGTAGGTTAGATAAAAAAAAAAGCTTGAACAAGCCTTTCTTTTATATTTAAGAGCAACATGGTGTTGTGAAGGAGGTCACTGATGTTATGGCAACCCCTCTGACAGGAAAAGAGGTGCTGTGGCATACGCTTCCCAGAAGCCCTGGCTCCTAAACACCACGCTAGCGGAGAACATCACTTTTGAGATGCCCTTAATAAAGCAAAGGTAACGGACCTTCATTTACCTTCTGTAGATATATTTATCATTGATTGCTCACTCCATGGATTTGTTGCCCACACATTTATATTAAAATAAATAAATAAATAATCAAATAAAATGCCACCAAATGGCATCTAGGTCCAGTGTTTGTCTCTAATGGGCCTTCTGTACACATTAACCTGTGTCTAGCACCCAGTCGCCCTAGTGATGTACAAAAGTCAAGTGTTTACTCTTTTTTTTTTTTGTGTCCATTTGTCAATACTAAAGCGTCCTCTATCCCCATCTGACACTCAATCATTATCGCCTCTTTAAATTTCAGTGACAGTCATTAGACAGATGTGGCCATCAGTAAGTGTCTCTCTGTGAGTCGCCGCTTCTCATAATCTCTGTTTTACAGCTGCCTCAGCAGTTGGCACGTGTCAGCAGTGTCTGTACTCAAAGTACATGAATTGTGGAAAAAAATCTAAAAGGATGCTATTTATTTGCTTGGAGATGCTTATAATGTTGTCATTAATGTCATTTGCAGCGGTTCATGGGATTGTAGTTCTATACCTCATTAAACCTGTGATGTACACAGTCTTGTACTTCTGTATTTTTGTCTCATTTTCAAATACTTTTTTGCTGAAAATCAAAATTTGTAATGTTATGATTCACCTCGTAGCTGCTTGGCTTGGTTCATGGCTTATAAAACTTTAACAAAGATTTTTTTTTTTTAATCCCTATGGGAGAAATGAATGGAAAAAATACTTCCAGAACCAATGCTGCTGAAAAAGGGGGCGGGCACTAATGCACTCTATTGGGTAGATCCGCCCACAAAGAAATCTCATTGGTCAGTGGTCCCATTTAGTATAGCTAGTGTGTTAAACATCACAAATGGTCTGATTGGCTGTGATTGTGTCGTGTATATTTTTACATTATTGTTGACGGACACATTTCTTAAAACTGTGATAGTGTCAACAAATGATCTGAGTGGAATTTGGATGGGAAATTAACATTTTTGGACTATGGCCTCTTTCTCAAATGGCTTACTTTCAGTGGCTTTGTGAATGTTTGTCTGTAATTTTTATATTGATTGAAAGCGTTAATGCTTTAAAAAGCTATTATATCAGTGACGGAGTCCATGCAGAGAATCATTCATTCATTATCAACCACCGATTTTATTGAACATCAATTAGTGCTGTCAAAATGAACACATTAATGCATGCGATTTTATAGTTTAATGCGTTAAAAATATTTAACACAAGTAACGCAGGGGCAGAGCAAGGTTTGCCACCCCACTCACAACTGCTGCTTCTGTCTCTTTTTTTTTTGTTGACAAGAGTTGCGTTTATTTAGACGCAGAACGTCTTTACGACCACATCAAAGGGAGACTTTTCAGATGCGCACTCCAACTTCGTCTAGTCAAACGAGCATGGAAAAGCTACAGGTGACGAGAGAGCTTCAGTAGAACAACAGTGAACTGTGATCAGATGATATGTTGTCAGGCCATATGTCAGTAAAAACAAATTGTCCTGTCCTGTCCGCTGTTATACTGTGCTTGTAGCATGTGCTGTTCAATTGCACGCACAAATGTGGCGGCGTGCGCTGTAGCCTGTATCATTTCATATTAAAGCACAAAAGAAACTACGAGCATGCAATGTTGTAGTTATCTCGTCATGTCTTATGTCATGAAGTTACCAAAAAGGCTGTTAACTGTTCATGCATGTAAGTATTTGTTAAATATGAGTCACATTTAAGAACATGTCTCTGAAATGCAGTGGTTTTCAAAACTGTCCTGAAGCACCAGCACTGTCTCCCTCATCTAACACACCCGATTCAACTCGTCAGCTCATTAGTAGAGACTTTAAAGGGGTCATATGATGTTACTAAAAAGAACATTATTTTGTGTATTTGGTGTAATGAAATGTGTTTATGCGGTTTAAGGTTCCAAAAACACATTATTTTCCAAATACTGTACATTATTGTTTCTCCTCTATGCCCCGCCTTTCTAAAACGTGTCGATTATTACAAAGCTTAGCACACAGTGTCTTCATGACACGGCGGCAGCAGCAACACTACAGCGAGAATCAAAGTTACGCCTTCTTTCTTGCCGTGAACATTTGGGTGGTGTAATGCAAATCTTCCCACACAGTGACGTAGACATGTGGGGGCGTGTTTAAACTAGGCGTTTTAGGAGGGCGTGGACGAGTCTTAACTTTTATGAAGAATATCTCTTTGGGTTTGAGACTTTAGTCTTTGCAACTTTAGGGATCTTATCTATTCCCGAACAGCTTGTAACACTACAAAGAGAAAATAAAACTTGAAATCGCATCATATGACCCCTTTAAGACCTGAAGTGGCCAGAAAAGGTAAAGAGTTATGAGAAAATATGATGCGTGTCAGATCTGCATCATGTTCAGCAGCAGCAGCTCTTAAAGCAGCCAAAATAACCTAATAACCCAGCTGATGTGATATGTTAATCAAAAAACAAAAGAAAAAAGAGGAAATCAATAACTTTTGTAGCTTTAAGGATTCATCTATATTTAATTTAGAACTTAATGTTTGATAACTTTATTCAATTTCTGTATATTTTCTACTTGCTGAAGGGCACAGGTAGCTAAATATGACATGCATTATAATGAGTTTATGTGAAGATGTTTTAAGTTCACTTAAATTAGAAGTTGCTATTTTTTAAAGTCTAATAAATGTTAAAATTGATAGCTCTCAGTTATACTGTAATGTTGAATGGTTATAGTAAATGGTTAAATATTGGGGGGGGGGGGGTTTCCTAGAGAAATCGGAAGTAAAGGTATAAGGGAAACT